GTTTAATAAGTCCTGTTTTGTGGACACTGCCCTTCAGGCCGACAGTAAGCCAATTGTGCCCGGTCCTTAAGAGAACCGCCCAGAGGCTATTATAGTGTCACATGTTATCATTGTGTCGTTGCTGTTCTATTTGGGGTTTGTTATTGGAAATAACATGAAAAGGGGGGGAGATGTCGTATACTGGGTTGCCTGTGTCGAGCGGGTGGGCGTTGCGGCTTTACGCCACCATGACATGCTTTGCGGCAGGGCTGTCGATGTGCCGTTCTTCTCTTAGCTGCCACACCCGTTGTTTTGCTGTTATAACCCATGCTGGATACACGTTCAATAAAGAGCATCACAAGAAAGCTACCGAGTGGTCATTCTACATAAAGTTAGTGTAATAACAACTCTGGTCACTCTGAAATGTTGATGTGAAGATTTCCAAGACAAGTTTGTATCTGGTACAGTACGAATGTTTGTTCTATTGAACTATGTGTGGGGGAAAAGAGTGTGATGTGTAACTTTGAGTAACAAACAACAGATATGACTGTTTAGATTGTTTTATATTATTTTAGTTTACTCAGATTTTAGTAATGTGACACAAAGAGAAGTTTTTGTAACCTATTGTGAACATGTGAATGTGTATAAATAAAGCTTTAGCAGATGTGGGAGAGGAAAACACACTACCTGTCGTCCATCTCATCATTTACTCTTTTTATTCAGGACCAGATATAAGCTGTTTGTTGCCCTCTTACTAGGGGCGTGTTACATGTACACTAAGCAGAAGGAAGGCACCCGGAGACTAGATAGTGTCTGAACCCCTTTCCAGGACGAAACAACAAAGATTCACGAATACATCAGGAAGATAGTCACGACTTATTATTTACTTAGTAAATATCTCAGACAGCCGAAGCCAGAGAAAAAAGAGGAGCAAGAGGAACCATCATTGAAAACATGAAAACATGGTATTTAGCACCAACAGATAGAAGAAGTGGCTGATATTAATCTAATATTATAAATCTGGACCAGTGGATGGACAAAGCTGGGCTGAAAGATGGCACAGTGGCACTAATCATGGCAACACAGGAACAAACTCTAAAAACAAGATCAATAGTGTCATGGTCCATGCTGAGTGTCAAGGGTTTTGCTGTATGTTTCCATTCTGGCCCATGAGTCCAGGTTCTGCCTGTCTGGGCTAAGTTCCTGTTTCTGGGTGTATATTTGCAAACACTAAATGACCCATGGCCTCACGATAAAGAGTTTGGGGATACAGATGGTGGGCTCCACAATACTGTCTGTAATCTTTTTTATTTTTACCAGTCATCATATTGTTTACTTGGATTATATTCTGATTTATTTTTTTTTAGTCTCTGAAGGATAAATGGGTCCATG